CGGGTGAGGATGTCATTTGATCCACTGTGTTAATGTGGGAAAAGCAAACGGGACACCAACAGGTGACACCTCCTTAAAACACAGGTGAATGCCGCAGGAGAAAGGGGTTGGGGGCTATGGCGATAGGTGCTCGCTGCTTCCCCGATGTTTGGTGATGTTGTTTCTGAAACAAAGGCAGTTTGCTTCTTTATGGAAAGAACCTAGTCCGGCCTTAGCCGGTTTGGCTCAGTGGATAGAGCGTCGGCCTGCGGACTGAAGGGTCCCAGGTTCGATTCCGGTCAAGTGCATGTACCTTGGTTGCGGGCACATCCCCAGTAGGAGGTGTGCAGGAGGCAGCTGATGGATGTTTCTCTCTCATCGATGTTTCTAACTCTCTATCCCTCTCCCTTCCTCTCTGTAAAAAATCAATAAAATATATTCTTTTTAAAAGAATCTAGTCCGGCCCTCATCCCAGGACAAGAGGCCTCCGGACAACTGCTCACCTCTCTCCTGATCCCCACCTTCTGAGAGGCGAGGCTCCCCCAGGCCTGCCATTAGGGAGTGGGGAGGAACCGGGCATTGAGGGATGCCTGCTGAGCCCCAGACCCCATGCTGGGGACCGAGCCAGACTCAGTCCCTACCCTCAGAGAGGGCCCCTGCCTGGCCCAGCATCTCACTCAGCCTTTGGGGGCGGGTCCGGTGTTATTACAGCAGTGAGTGGCCCAGCCATTGCGGCCCAGTGGCTCAGCATTGACCGATGAACCAGGAGGTCACGGTTTGATTCCTGGTTCGATTCCCAGTCAGGGCACATGCCTGGGTTGCGGGCTCATTCCCCAGGGGCGTGGGGGCGTGCAGGAGGCAGCCGGTGAATGATTCTCTCATCATTGATGTTTCTCTCTCTCTCTCTCTCTCTCTCTCCCTTTCCTTTTCTCTCCAAAATCAATAAAAATATATTTAAAAAATAAAGCAGTGAGTGGCTGAGCCAAAACTAGGTCTGGAGGTCTCCCCTGTCCTTTGAGGGGTTCAAGGCGAGAGGGTAAGCCGCCCATTCAGTCCCATAATTTTTTTTTAACAATCCACAATAAATACGTTTATTTGTTTATTTGCTTGTTTTTCCACTGATTTTTTTTTTTTAGAGATAGTAGAAGGGGGGGTGGGGGACATCCATGTGAAAGAGACACATCTATTGGCTGCCTCCCACACACGCCTGGACCAGGGCCAGGGATGGGGCCTGCAACCGAGGTCCGTGCCCTTGACCAGAATTGAACCCGGGACCCTTCAGTCCACTGGCCGACGCTCTATCCACTGAGCCAAACCGGCCAGGGCCAGTCCCATAATTTGATGGAGTAAAGGCCAAGACTCGGGCCAGGTTGGCAATTATGGCACAGAGTCTACTGATGAGGGGAAGAGTTTCCCTGTTTCTAACTATGGGTCTTGGTCTCTCTCTCTCTCTCTCTCTCTCTCTCTCTCTCTCTCTCTCTCACCAGCCTTCATGCAGCAGCATTCTGACCCCCAGCAGCATTCTGACTTCCTGACCCCCAAGCCCTTCCTTCGCTTCATTTCAGGCGCCCCCTCTCCCCCTCCTCCGCCCCAGGTACGCCATCCCCTCCCCACCTCCCGCGGAGAATGGCCTCCCTGTGGATGGCCTGGCAGAGTCCCCGTCCTCCCATAAAAGCCCGAGTGAGGCCCGGACCCTTGGAACCCAGACAGAATGGAATGTCTCCCTATTTTCTTTGCAGCGAAGAAAACACACACAAACCCAGGAGCCTATTTATCGACGATATTTCTATCCCAAAGTTTGTCTTTTAAAAAAAAGAAGAAATAAAATTAGTTTTACGGCCCACTCCACACCCACCCACCTCCCCCCCGCCCCCCGCACCCCCCCAAATCCCCACCCTTTTCATTGCTGGTTGAGGAGACCGGGGAGGAGCACAGAGCGGGCCCAAGCCCAAGCCCCCAGAGAACCACGGCATCCCGGACAATGCCCGGCTTGTTCGGAGTCAGGGAGGAAACGCAGCTCCGAAAACATACTCGCTACGGCCCAGGGAAGGGTGTTCCGAGGGAGGACGGACAGGCGGGCCTTGTGTCTGGACACGGATCCCTGAGGCTGGGGGAAGGCGGGAGCCACACGTCTCGCCCCCCCCCCCAGAGTGGAGGGGACCCCTTACCCTTGGAGCCCCCGGGGGGCTATTTCCCAGCCGTGACTGGTCCCACTGGGCCTGGAGGAGACCACTGCAACCCCTCACGGAGCCAGAACCTGGAGCCCCAGTTTTTTGGTGTTTTTTTTTCTTTTGAGGGCAGCCTCTAAGGCAGCGGTTCTCAACCTTCTGGCCCTTTAAATACAG